CTTAAAAACCTGACTTCTGTGAGTATGGTAAAGGGCAGATTACATTCTTTCCTGAAATTAGAAAATTAAACAGAAACTAATGCATGTCAAAGATCAAACAGTCAAGGAATAACCTGCTGCTGCAATTACTACCATCAGGGATTGGATCAGTTGATACTTTCCAAATACAATTTGACATCTCATAAAAATTACAGCTAAACCAACAGAAACTAATTTCTGTTTTTCACAGGTGTCTATCAGGTTATAAACACACCTAACTTATTGGTCATAATAAATGCATAATGGAAGGATATAGTTTAATATGAGCCATAGACCTTCTGAATCACCTGTGAAAATAAACTGAAATGTAGTATTTCTGTCTGTCAGTAACAGTCCTGAAACATTTTGTGGCTTTTGAAAAATTAGATTTTTAGTGCTCTTTGACTGAAATATTTTTCTACTCCCCTTACGACCTAGATGAGAATGGTCTGTCTACTCATACAAATGTTTCTCCCAGACTATTTAAGAGCAGATTTACTGAATTATTCTATTGACCTAAACAGCATTGGACAGAACCAAAATTTGTTTTCTCTTGATTTATTGAGATCACACAACCATAGAATCATGTAGTTTGGAAGAGAACTTTAAGATCAAGTCCAACCATTAACCAAGCACTGCCATGTCTGCTGCTAAACCATGTCCCTAAATGCCACAACTACATGTCTTTTAAATACCTCCATTCTTTCCACACTATCACAGAAAAAATGTTTTCCTAATTTGGTTTGGGGTTGATTTTAAAAAAAAATTTAAATAAACTATTTTGAGTTTATTTCAATACCTTGGTGTTATACAGAGATTTTATAATAATCTTTGAAGAAATTCTGATGTAATTTCAGACTGCCATGTAAATGGTGAAATGATCATAGAATCATAGAATTATTAAGGTTGGAAAAGACCTCCAAGACCATCAAGTCCAACCTTTGACCAAACACCACCATATCACTAAACCGTAGCACTAAGCATGACGGCCAGTTTCTTAAACTCTTCTAGGGATGTTGACACCACCACTTCCCTGGACAGCCCATTCTAATGCTTAATCACCCTTTCAAAGAAGACCTTCTTCATTATGTCTAACCTGAACTTCGCCTGGCACAGATTGAGGCCGTTTCCCCCCACCCAATTGCTAGTTACCTGGGAGAAGGGACTGATCTCCACCTGGCTACAAATTCCTTTCAGGCAGTTGAAGAGAGCGATAAGGTCTTCCCTGAGCCTCCTTTTCTCCAGGCTAAACAACCCCAGCTGCCTCAGCTACACTTCATATGACATTCTGTAGAACTTCCACCAGCTTTGTTGCCCTTCTCTGCACTTGCTCCAGCACCTCAATGTCTTTCTTACAGTGATGGGCCTAGAACTAGACAGACTACTTGAGGTGTGGCCTCACCAGGGCCATGTACAGGGGGCCAATCATTGCCCAGGTTCTGCTGGCCACACTATTTCTGATAAAAGGCAGGATGCCGTTGGCTTTCTTGGTCATCTGGGCACACAGACGGCTCATGTTCAGCTGGCTGTTGACCAACACCCCCATGTCCATTTCTGCTGGGCATTTCCCAGTCACTCTTCCCTCAGCCTGTTGCACTGCATGGGGTTATTGTGACCAAAGTGCAGGACTTGGCACTTGGCCTTGCTGGACCTCATATCATTGCCCTTGGCCCATGAATCCAGAATGCACAGAAGCAGTGAAAAAAAAGTAGAATTCCAACAGCAAAAATTCTTATAATGGAACAATATAGTTAAACACGAGTATAACATAAGTCACAAAGTCATATGTTCACTCTAGCATACCTAAACTTTGCTTTATTCATTTCAGACATCCCTTTCCTGTATCAATAGCCCATTCTAACAATAAGTAATAATAAAAGATCTCCAGCACCACAAGAATGGTATGCTATATTTTTTATATCAGATTTATGGTGTTTAAAATGTTGTATTATTTTACTTAAAAGGACAAAAACTAATGCATACCAAGTATGCAGGAAATACATAAGACTAACTGAGATAGAATGAGTGTGTACTTTTAATCTTTATGATTCGGTATACTGTAGTCATGGGAATATATGAGCCACTTGGGCTAAAATAAAATAGAATATGTCTGATCTGCTGGTCGGAAAGCTGGACAAAAACTGACATAAAGAATATTGAGAAAGGTCGAACTTATAGCACAGGAAACTTCTCTTAACATTACTTGAAACAACACTGGACACATGTAAAAGTTAAGTATAGGAAAATATCAGGAATCATATATGGCTATAAACTTTTGCTCTAGGCTGAAACATGGAACAGAAAGTCTCGGCACAGCATGAGCATCCTCTTGTAATTACTGAATTCAATTTAAATTACTCCCAAAACAAAACATCTTCCCTCAGAAAATTCCATGTACTTCTGTTCTTTCCTATTACTTAAATATCATGAGTTTTTTTCTTTTATAAAACATTAAATTGCACATGTCCTTCCTTAAACATTTCAGCCCTATGCAAAAAAAAATCATCTATTCAAGAAAAGAGATTTTTTAACCCTGTATCTTACTAGATATTATTTTTCTGACGGAGAAAGATGTGCAATCAAAAGTTGTAAAGGGACAATTTCCAAACATGCTCAACTAGTCAGTGTGGAGCCAAATTGTTTCTAAGGAAATATTGACACTGATGAAAAGCAATAGAATTTTGAGGAAAAACTTTAGATTTCTTATCAATTGCTCCTGCATGTGAGAAGCAAGCTATTACATCTTGCACTGGCAGAATGGAAATAATGAAGCATTTCTCCCCTAGACCCTAATGACATGTACTGTCACCCTGTAATAGCACCCACCACGGGCTCCCGGAGGACACCACAGATTGGGGAATGATGAATATCTACTCTCAGAGAAAGGCCTAACTAGCAGCACTCACTGAGACAGGATGCTGTTCTTTACAGAATGTCAGGCCT